CTGCTGGCCTAAGAGTGTGTTGTGAGGGGCAAACGGCATTACAAGAGCCTCTGCATGAAGATGATCGGTAGGTGAAATTTCATAGTAGTCCGTGATTGTGCGGAGGCCAGCGTTCTGTGCTGACTGAGGGCGGCGGAGGCCGAAGAGCTAATCGGAGACCAGATTGGTGCCGCACAAGTGAGGTGCGGCTTGGCCAGCGCTTTGAATGTGGTAGTCAAAGTCTCTTTCGCGCAGTCCCAGGATGTGCCCGCTAGAGCCTTTAGAACCCTGGTGCAGCGGCTCACTTTGCCTGCGACCTCCCTGGCATAGTTCGCGAACGTGAAAACGGATCAAAACGGATGCCAAGGAGCTTGGGCTTACGGACAAGCGGTAATGACGCATCGGTAACGATGATGGCTGGATGAAGATTGAACTCCTTGGGATCCAGCATAAAAACAGTGACGGACAACTTGGCTGCCGAGATCGTCATCCCACGCTGGGTGAAGAAGTTTTCGACATCAGGCATGAACTCCAAGAGGAGCTGCGCAACCTGATCAATGTGACGGTGCCGGCAGAAGGACGTGACATCGCCCGCGTATGATACCACTTTCGCAGGTGTCCAAGGGAATGGGAGCTCTCGCATGTAGATGTTGAAAAGCGTCGGACTGAACTCAAAGCCTTGAGGAACGCTGCAGGTCTGTTTGCAGGGCTTAGAGAAAGTGCCGCGAAAGAGGGCACGGTCGTGGCGGCCACGGATGTAAGCCGCAAGCCATCGGACCAGGCCAGTCGGAGGTCGAGGGAGACTGAATCCTGCAGGAGCTGATCATGGCGAATGCAGTTGAAGGCGCGTGACAGGTCGATTGAGACTGCCACGGTACATGAAGCAGGCTTCTGTTGATTGAGACCCTCGAGGATGGCGTCGCTGCGCTCGAAAAGCGCCGTTGTGGTACCACGACCTGATCTGAAACCATGTTGCTGGCAAGACAGTTCCGCCGCGGACGTCAGAATTTGGTGAATGAGGCGTTCCAGGATATTCGTCAGTGGACTGAGGAGAGCAGTTGGGCGATAAGAGGCCGCTATACTGAAGTCCTTACCATCTTTGACCAGAAGGATAATGATGGACTGGCGCCAGCAATCGGGGATCCTTGAGTTAGCCAGCGAAAGGTTGAAAGGGGCAACAGGATATGCAGCCACCTTAGGGCCGATATGGCGCAAATGGATAGGCGCCAGGACATCTGGTCCTAATGCTTTCAAGGCTTTCGTTTTCTTGACAGCGGTGATGATAGCATCAGCCGAAAAGGGAATGTCCGGGGCCGGGGCTTCATGGTGGAGGCGAAGAAGGGAGCGCTGGCTTTTGGGACTGAACACAGAACGGGGCGAGAAAAGTTGGTTCATCTTCGTGGCGATCTTACCATTGTTCGAAATTAAGTTTCCGTCCCCAAAGCTAATAGTCTGGTTAGATGTACCAGCCCGGGGCTTGGACAGGTTGCGTGGAAGTTTCCAAGTGGCAGCTGGTTTGCCGCGGAAATCGCAATCTGCAACTAGTTCATGCCAGCGTTGGCTTTTGCCGTAGTTGACGGTCGTGGTGATCAAGCCGTTCAGCTCGCCAATGCGAGGTTAATTGGCATACCGTGATCGTTTATCATTTCTCTCGTGTTCCAGGTGGGGGGCTTCAGGCGGATAGTTGGGACGAAGAAGGAAAATGCGGTCGTTCGGGGTATGGTAACTTGATGCTGCCAGAAGCAGTCGACGAAGTGTTCGCTCCGCCGTGTAGATACAGGTGGAAGGCGGTAAGACATTGATCTCCGGCTTCGCATTCGGCGGTAAACGCTGCCCACTCGGCTCGCTTGAAGTTGATGAAGTGCCTATTTGCGGCCTCGATACGGTCGGCACTACAGGAAGGTGATCGCTACCCAGGCTGATTTCGGTGATTAACACAGTGGAGGGTACCAGGCTGAGACTAGCGAGAGACACATCGGGCGAGCTAAGGGCACCGTTGGTCGGTTGCCGCCTTTGGCCAGGTTTTCTCTACGGCGATCGGCTGCCAAGTTAGAGCACTACAGGTCGTAGTGTGCCTTGCAGTCACCTAGCACCAAACTGTTTCCAGAAGGTAAGTAGGGAGCGATGGCGGCGGTAAAACCAGGACAGCTGGAAGTTAGAGAGATGATGTTCACGACGGTTAGCGGTACCGGGCGAATTTCGAGGGAAATTGCCAATACTTCCGTGAAGTCGACACCAAGCAGGGGTAGCTGATGATAAGCAATGGATTTGTCCACCAGGAAGGCCAAACCTCCGCCTTTGTCGCGACCGCGGTCGCGAAGACCGATCGTGTAGTCGGGACAGGAAGGGACCTTGGTGGAGTTAGTCCACTTTGTTTCTTGGGTATCCACTACAGCTATGGTGTGCGAACGCATGAAAGCGAGGAGCTGGTCAAGTTTACTGAGTAT